TGCAGTTGCGCGGATGCGTTGCGCCTCTCACTTCGGAGCCATCAGGGCGCAGGAGTGCGCCAGGAGCGAAGACGCCTGCGTCGATACAATTTTTCAGCGTTGCGCGAGAAGGATGTCCGAGGCGCTGGTGCCAAAGTGCATCGTCGGCGCGAAAGCCGGAGGTGCGCATGTAGCGCGCGCGGGCTTCCTCAGGTACGGGAGCAGGTTCTGCTACTGCTTCTTCTGCATCTTCTTCTTCTGCCGCGGTAGTCAGCATCAGCGCCAGGAACTCTCTGTCGCGAATCTCAGAGAGTGGGATGTTGGTCCCAGGGATGGTTCCAGGGACGAGGGTTGGTTCGCGTGGTTCGGGAGCCGGTCCGTAAGCGGTGCGACGCGGGGTTGACGGCTCGTTGCCCCAGGCGATGGTGTCCCATGGATCGCGGCGCGGTGGGTTATCAGGAGGAGGTAACGCGAGTGGGACATGGCGTGGGGGACGACCGAGGGGAACAACTGCAGACTCTCCAGCTTCTTCTTCTCCCCCCCTTTGGTCTTCGCGGGAAGTCCCCCAGCCTCTAGTAGGGGTGCCCCAGCCACTCGTGTCGGCGCCAGATGCGGCGCCCCATCCGCCGGTTGCGGTTGCCCAGGTTCCGCCTGTGTTGCCCCAGTCGCCAGCCTCAGTCGTTCCTTGTCCGCCGACGCTTCCCCACCCCCCTTCATTGGTGGCGCTTTCTTCAGCTTCGGCGCCCCATGCGGCGCAAGCGAACGTTCCGCGTGCCTCGGTGAGGCTTTGTTGGCGAAGCTCCTCGGCTTCGCGGCGCGCCAGTTCTTCCTCCTGTTCCACGGTGAGTGTTGCCGTGGGATCGCGCCAGTGGGGGTAAATCTTCATAAACTCCTCGCGGGTGTAAGGCCGCGCCATTCCGCGCGTGTCGAAGGTTCTGCGGCGTTGTCCACGTAGAATGCCTTCAAGGCGCTGAGAGGGTGGTCCAGCGTGGGGGCTTTGGTCGGTGCCGAACACACGCTGAGTGGTGACTTGCAGTTCGAGTTGCGACATCCCTTCTTCTGGCGGCGCGTGGCGTTCTGCTTCCGCGATGGCGGCGAGTCCGCGGCCTGCGATCGCGCTCGTCGAGGTCGTCGGCGTGTGACAATCCCTGCAGATTCCATCTGGATCGGGGTTGTGAAGTGCCGTTTCGCGTGGGTGGGGATGATGCGGCACCCACGGCCTGCCGTCAGGGTGCTTCCAGTCCCTGCGGTGGATGTGTTCGAATCGCAGTGGCACGAGGTCAATCAGCTCGTGCGAGTCGCCGCTGCAGTCGGGAATATCGAAATCCAGGATGTACACTCCATTTTCGGAGTGTGCTCGTCCGATCTGCCTGCGGGGAAAGGTGCGCGATTCGTAGTGCAGCAGAATGTCGCGCGTCGCGCGGTCCGTGCTGAGGTCGACGCCGCAGTCCATGAGCTGTGCGGCGGACAGGAGGTTGAAGCGCAGGTTTTGGACGATTAACACATCATTAAGAGTGATGTGCGTGCGGCTTCCGCGTGCTTTGAGCACGACGATGCCTTGCGCGTTTGCGCGCAGGCGCGTGTTGTTCGCCACAGTGACGTGAGTGACGGTAGGGGTGGGGACGGCGTTGGATATGTAACGCTCGGAGCCCACCATATGCTGGCCGCAGCAGCTGTCCAAGTACCAGGTGTTGTTGCGCTTGTTGTCGTCACGTGCGAGCAGCGCCAGTCACGGCGTGACGATGTGCGGGGTATCGAACTTCAGAAATTGCTCGCGCGTGAGCCAATCAAGTGGCGCCACCCGCATGTCGGGTACGTGCGGGGGACTCTCAAGCAGCGGGACTGGGAGATTCCAGTCCTGGTCGTCGTCGTCGGTGAAGTCGTGGCGCGGACTGAATGGGTTGTTGTTAGAGAACGCGCCAATGGGATGCGGTGCTGGCTCAGGTGATGGTGAGCGCGCGCGACGACGTCGTGATTCGCCTGTCATGGCCATGTTGCTCATGACATTGCGTACTGTGGCAGTCGGTGGCGGCTGCTGCTGCTGATGCTGAACCGCGGGGTTCAGGTTGCGCGTGGGAGGGGGCTGATAGCCCTGGGCTGGACGCACGTCGCCTCGTACGTCTTGTCGGCCGGACCAGTTGCTCGGATTGGTCTGGCGAGGGCGAGATCGGTATTTACATCGATCCGCCAGGTGCCCGAAGTTCCTGCAGATTTTGCAGTAAAGGCGCCTCGGCCGTCGCTCTTCGTTGTTGTCGGCGTAGAAGGCGAGCCGTTCTCTTTCTCGTCGTGGCGCTGGTCGCTGCTGGTCCATATCCCGTTGTTCGACGAGAAGGGCGGCGCAAAGGGCGGCCTCCGAGATGACCCCCTGCTGTCGGAGAAGCGCCTTGCAGGGCCGCCACTCTGGGCCGAGCCCTTGAAGTACGATGTTAACGAAGATTTCTTCAGATATCGTGCTTCCCAACTTCACGATTTGATCGCGAAGGCTCCGACAGCGGTTAAGGTAAGTGTTGACCTTCTCCCCTGAGGTCATCTTGGTTTCCAGGAGTTCCTGGAGCAGTCGGCTCGAGGAGACAGAGTCCTTGGGCTGATACACTCCTGTCAGATGTCGCCAGGCGTTGAGGGCTGGAGCAGCTGTCGTTTTGTACGAACGAATGTTGAGCTGCTCCGCCGGGGACATGTTCCGCAGGAGCACCCCGTACGCCATCAGTGATTCGTTGTAATACCTCGCCTTGGCGTCGTCGGTGTCCTCGGCAGGCTCGGCGTAGCTCCCGTCGAAGTAATGGAAGATTTGGGCGTTCTGCAGCAGGAGCTCCAATTCGAAGCTCCAGGTATAGAAGTCTTTGCCGTCAAAGCTGGAACTTGTCTTTATTTTTGATATGCTCAGAAACTTTGATTGAGCGGAGAGAATTGCTTCTTCACTGGGACGGGGAGTCTTGGGAGTTGAGCCATTTGTGTCGAGGGAGAAGGTTTGCGGGACGGTGTTCTGCCCAGTTGGGCCCGGTTGGGATGGTTGCGAGGATGTTCCCGCATCGCCGTTCCGCAATGTTTGGAGCCCTTGCTCCAGACTGGTGAGTCGCTGAAGAAGTTGTGCGAGGACTTCGGTGCCGATCGTAGTCGTTTCCTCGCTTGTCGCAGCCGGATTGGTGCGCGCTTCAGCCGTCAGATTAGTCTGACCACCAGATCCTCCGGCCATTCTCACACGCGAGCGTGTGCCGGTCGCCACTTTCCGAGTGTCGCAATTTTCGGGAGTGGTGTTGCGAAGGATTCCCGAGCCGCTCTCATACCATGCTACGATCAGAGAATGATCGCTTACCAGGATCTACTCGGGAAGGTTCGCTTGTAGGTAGATAGTTGGTGGGCCCTTGACCTCAAAGACAGAGTGAATGTAAAATGTTTTTAGATAATAAGAGCATGCAAATACAACGATATAAATAAGGGTACAGGGGAATACGAAGCGACCTAACTAGCCATGTACTCTAAGGGGTACATTCCCTTATTCAAATACATTCAACCGTGCGGTGCGGACAGTTACGAAACTGTTCCCGCCGAAACCATCCTGCCTGCAGCTGCTCGATGCCGTCTGCTCCGACGGTCCAGATGCGCCCCAACTGTCTGACACTTCGAGTCAAACTCCAACCGTCTGACGGTTCGCTTTCTTGCTTCGATACTGCGTGCTTCTCTTTGCTGCGGTGAGGAGTGCTCAGTAACAATTAAATGTTACTATTCGTAACAGTTCTTGATATGTGACCCTAAACCCATCCACCCATCCACCCATTCAATCATTCAATCATTCACCCATGCACCCATGCACCCATTCAATCATTCACCCATGCACCCATCCAATCGTTCACCCATGCACCCATGCACCAATGCACCCATGCACCCCTGCATCCATGCACTTATTCACCCACAAACCCATGTACCGTACACACGGTCCCATGCAGGCACAGGTGGAGGATAGTGTCAAGATGTTTGACACAGCAGCCGGGAGCTGTTCCATTCTCAAGCTATCAATATACACTTGATGATCCTCTGGGAGCTTCTGCTTTGAAGATCTTAAATTATGTATCAAATTCACCCGTGTGTGTTGAATTGAAGTACATTGGTGATGATATTGTGCTCCTGAACTCTTCTTAGCGAACTGCTCTCCTTTCACCCAGATGAAACAGAGTTTACAATGCAATTTACTTCTACATTGCAAGTATTTATCTAGACATTAACATGTCCTACAATACAATGTACATCATACCGTACTTCCTAGAAGTCATTACTTAACCCAACAGCAGCTGGGAGTTAGTCCAGCGCACCCTTCAGTGTTGTACCCATGTATGTACAGCCCATGTTCCTATGGGATGTTCTCATGCTGAGAGCAGCCATTGCTGTGGCCGGCATGCCTATGAGGGCTCATTCAGGAGCTCCTTCTATGCGCCCTGCTGCTGCTGCTGTAGCCTAGCCTTGGCTGCCTCTCATGCACCAAACCCTCTCTCCTCCCCGCCTGCTGCTTCACCCCCTCCCTGCCACACACGCCACTTGCCACTGCTCTGCCACCTGCTGCCTTCACACCACCCTGCCTTCCACCTGCTGCCCTCCCTGCTGCTCCCTCCGCACACCCACCCTCCTCTCTCCTCTTCACCCCACTCGCCTGCCTGCTGCTGGCCTTGCCAGCTGCTCTCACTGATGATGCACCACCACGTGATCCCGCAACTACTGCTGCTGCACATGGGGCAGAGCTTGCATGCGTGTTGTTGCCTTTACCACCCTTCACACCCATGCTCACCACCTTGCTGCTGCACCCATTCTTGCCCTTCGCGCTTTCAACCCCCACCTTGCACCTTGCTGCAACAGCAGGCTTTGGCTTCTGTGCTGCTGCTGCTGCTTCTCTCAGTGATGACGCCGCAGCAGGTGATTTCACTCTTGTTGTAGCTGCTGGCGAGGGAGCAGCTGGTGCTGCGGACACTGCTACAGTCGCTGCTGCTGCAGATGCAGGAGGCACGGTTTTGCGAGTCAGATTCGCCACAGCATCAGGATGCTTGGGCAAGACGCAGGGCGGCAGCAATGGCCGCTTCAATCTCCATGGCCCATGATGCCTCCTTGCTCCGCTTGTCCCACCTCAGGTAAGCAGCACGTGTCAGCGCAATATTCATAACTCGAACCTCCTCACGCAGCTTCGCCCACCTCGCTTTCTCACTCGGATCAGCAGCGCATGCACTCGCCTCCTCGGATATTGTTTCTGTGGTCTCACTCGCTTCAGGCACCTGTGGTGTGGTTGAAGTCACTGGAGCCACAGGCGCCACCTCAGGCACCACCACAGGCGCAACCACAGCAGACGGTGTGACTGCAGCAGCAGCAGATGGCGAGGGAGCAGCAGGGACGACCACAGGTGCAACCACGGCAGCAGCAGGCTTGCCTCCGAAGCGGCCGATTCCAGGCCGCTTCACATCAGGCGCGTCAGGTACAACGTGCACCTTGGCGGGCTTGTGTTGCCCGTAAGCGACGCCTTGGGAGGCCAGTTTCTCCAGCAGCGGCCTCACGCTCTTCAGAAGCACGCTGCTGCAGCACGTCTCACCGTCGTCGTTGCAAGCAGCAGCCTTCACAGGAGAGTACGCTGCAGGCGAGAAAACGGATTTAGGGATTCCGAACCTGCCAATGCCTCTGGTAGGTGTTGCAGGACTGCTCGAGGTTTGAAAAGCAGAGTTAGCAGCGCAGTTATCAGCATAGATTGCCATTACTCGGCTGTCAGGAGATCGTCTGACAAAGGCTGATCGCTGGAAGGTGTTCAACAGTAAGGTCGTTAGCTGATGCAGAGGTAGCTGATGCCTTTATTCAAGTTTCCAATGCAACACGGAAAGCTCTGAGGAGGTGAGAATGTTTAGATCCAACCGTAGGGATCCCAAATCTACTGCACTCCGCCCTCGCCCGCTCTAACCCTCGTTCCCACGCCCACATGCCTCGTCTGCCTGAGCTTTGGAGTTTCAGCCTCGGCCTGCCTTGCTGTCTACTCGTACGCATGCCACGTGTCGGAAATCGAACGGTGGGAGATGAAGCAGCAAGGTGTGCGGACGGATCTTAAGGCGTACTTTGCTGGGGTTCAGGTTCGGGATCTCGATGGCGTCGCGTCAGGCATAATAAGCGGAGGTGGGAGGTTCGGGGAGACTCTGTCGGTGTCGGTGGGTTTCAGGTCCTTGTGTCCCTCGAGTCGCCGCACCAGTTTCCCGCCATTATTTTTGTTCCTCGATTTCTTCCCTAGCCGTTCCTACGAGCTTTGTTACAACAAACCGTTGGATACAATTTTCGGTAAAAAACTTCGCACAACGATAACGCGACGGGACGGGACTATCGGTTTCCTCTCGTAGCATGGTGTGTGAGGCAGAAGGGTTTGGGTTGGGCCGTGCTGTGCCACTGAGCTGATTTGCCACTGAGAGTCCCTCTGCCAACAGAACTTGTGTTGTACTCTTTATATGCAGTCGTCGTATTGTTATCGTGAAAATGTAATTCGGAATGCAATATTTATTGATTTCTCCATGCCAGGTTGGATACGGAATGTATTGTTGACTGTGGTAGGTCTGTTCGGTACGAAGCGCGATAAAAGTAATGGTCGCGTAGGGCCCCGAGCGGCCCGTCTTGATATGAAGGTGAATCACTAGCAATCATAATCACCATGCCATAAAAAGCCCGCAGGTGATTACGAGCGCACAGGCGACTATGAGCGTGGAGGCGATCACGAGCGCGCAGGCGATTACGAGCGCGCAGGCGATCACGAGCGTGCAGGCGATCACGAGCGTGCAGGCGATTACGAGCGCGCAGGCGATCACGAGCGCGCAGGCGTTCACGAGCGTGCAGGCGATTACGAGCGTGCAGGCGATCACGAGCGTGCAGGCGATCACGAGCGCGCAGCGCGCCAGAGATTACTAGAGCATAAGCGATTACGAGCGCGAAAGCAACTACAAGCGCAGAAGCGATTGCGAGCACAGGAGAGAATTACGAGCCTTGGTTACGAGTAGGAATTGAAGTAATCGTAAAAGCGATCTCAAGACAACCTTTTAGGGGGTTCACTCTAGAAATGCGACTGTCACGCTGCGAGTGGCCTTCATGTCCAACGTGATCGCGTCCGAGCCTGTAACCCTCGGCCAATCAGATTGCCCCAACCGACTCGCAGGCTTGAAATTAGGGTGAGCGCGCGACGAGGTGAGGGAACGAAGACGGGAGTGCAGGAGTCAGGACGGGCGGACGGAACGGAAGGAGCGGAAAGGGCGGAAGGCGGGAAAAGACGAGATAGAGAAAAAAGTTTGAGAGCAAAGGTCTCACAAGGGGAGGAAAGGGCGGAGAGGAAGGAACAGAAAAGTCTGTGGACGCGGCGGAAATCTCGGCGGGGATGGAGGGAGGCTCCCTCACCAACCCATCCCCATCACCCAGCCAATTTCATGCCATCTCAGGCTCACACACAATCCCATACCATCTCACATCAGGCCATCTCACCCACACATCATCCCATGCAATCATACATCCCATGGTAAGGTGACTTTTGGGTTCAGTTTGAGGTTCACGATTTGTTTATTTTCCCGTGTACCCATTGAAATTCTTAGTCATGGCACAAATTAGACCTGAGGGTTGCACAGGACAAATCTGCTTCTGCCTCAGTTCACCAGTAGCATGCCTTACACACGCCATCCCATGTCATCACACTGCTTAAATAAACCATCCCACTTGCACAAACCATCCCATCTCATCTCAGAGCCCAAATCGGGCCATCTCACTCACACACCATCCCATACCACGACACATCCAATTACATGCCATTTCACTCACACTCACCATCCCATACCTTCACACACCGTATCAGGCCATCTCATTCACAGAACTCACCTCTTGCTATCACACTCCATGCCATATACTCTCAAACACCATCCCATACCATCTCACAGCAGATTTCATGCCATGTCAATCAGAAAGCACCAACCAACCCATGCCATGACACAGCCCATTTCATGCCATTTCACTCACACGCCATTCCATACCATCACACAACCCAATCCATGCCAACTCACTCACACACCATCCCATGCCATCACACAGCCAACTTCATGCCATATCACTCTCACCCACCGCCATTCCATGCCATATCCCACACACATACCATCCCATGCCATCCAACTCACTGTCCCATACAATCACAGATCATCCCATACCACCACACATAACTCATGCCATACCACTCGCACAGCAGTCCATGCAATCACATATTTTTTCCCATCCCATCACACATAATATCCCATGCAATCACTCACACATATTATCGCATGTTATTACGCACACCATCCCATACCCTCAATCACACCTTCCTATCCCATAACACAAACCGTCCACTGACCTTATAGAATACTCCACACCCATGCTAACACTCACACCATCCATCCACAAATCGCAAGATGATGCATTTGTCCCACAGTGCCCCACAGAGAGGTGAGCACCAGCGTGGTAGTATCAAGGGACCCCCATGACCGCCCAGGTGTGTGCTCATGTGGTGGGGCAGATGAGTTTTCATGTGGTGGGGCAGAGAAGTTTTCAGGTGGTGGGGCAGAGAAGTTTTCAGGTGGTGGGGCAGAGAAGTTTTCATGTGGTGGGGCAAGTGTGTGCTCATGTGGTGGGGCAGGTGAGTTCTCAGATGGAGCAGGCGTGTGCTGAGACGGTGGGGGGGCTGTTGTAATGAGCTAGGATGCCTAGTTTAGCCACAGCCACGGCATCGCAAGTGCCACCAAGGTAGGAAGCCCGTCAGCCCTTAGCTGTCTCATTTCTGTGAAACTGAGCAGTCTTTTTTTCCATTTGTGTGTTTTTTTTTTTTTTTTTTTTTTTTTTTTTTTTAATGTGAATATCTTGTTATAGTGTGTGTGTGTTTTCTTTGTACCCGTTTGCTTTTGGTGTACCTCTCACTCCAGTCCCATCCCATCCCATCCCATCCCATCCCATCCCATCCCATCCCATCCCATCCCATCCCATCCCATCCCATCCCACCCCATCCCATCCCATCCCATCCCATCCCATCCCATCCCATCCCATCCCATCCCATCCCATCCCATCCCATCCCATCCCATCCCATCGCATCCCATCGCATCCCATCCCATCCCATCCCATCCATCCCATCCCATCCCATCCCATCAGCGGACTGTTTTGAGGAGGATAATGGAGGGGATGGGGATGCGCATTCCGAATCGCAGGATGACGAGGAGGATGCTGCTGGATGTGCGGAAGAGGAGGCGGAGGAGGAGAATGAGTTGGAAGCGGAAGGGATGGGCGGTCCAGAGGCAAAGGCAGGGCAGGGCACTCCGCATGATCTCAATGAGGAGGCTGCTGCAGCGATGGTTGGTGTGGGGGAACATGGAATAAACACGGGTGTTGCGCTGGGGGATGCATTTGTGGGGGCACTGTTTGATGTAGACCCAGAGGCTGTCACGATGGGATGATTGTGAGAAGAATGTGTTTTCTAGTATTAGAAGGTTGTGGTTGTATAGTGCACAGTTAATGCATGACGTAGAGTATGTGCCCGGAGTTTTCGTATACTGTGTATATAGAATACATCGGGCAAACACCATGACTAACCACGAACGTTACCATGCCAGTACGATTGGTGTATTTGGGGGGTAGGATTGCGAGGGATACAATGAGTGGCTCCCACGTGTTGTGGAGATCGGGGATGCACTGGTGTACCGATTGTGATTGGCTGCTGAGATTGCGTACCCGCGCACGGTCGTTGTTGCTAGGCATGATACCGGCTCTGCGCATACAGGCTCTGGCACTGGAGTGCAGTCGGAATGTGCATACTTTTGTAGTATGGTGTGCGTTAGTACCATGGTGATTCGCTTTGTCCTACCGGAATGGAGACTTCTTTGGGGACGTCGGAAGAACTGACTGCAGGCCGGTCGCAGAGGCTGAAGCGAACCCTGGCATATCTCCGAAACGCATACCAGCTCGTGAGGTGAAATGTGTGCCTGGGGACCCAGGGCAGTACAAGCGTCCAAGGGTTGCCAAGCAGAAGTGTGTCCCTGTACAAGGTATTGTCTGTCGGGATTTCTTTGCATCCCGTTGTGTTTGGCGCACTGCTTTTGGCGCTTTTAGCCATAACGGAGTGCTAATGTTAGCTGTTCTGATGGCGGATTGTTGTGCACATTGCGCTCAGGAGTGGCTAGTGCGGCTCAGGGTGCATCGCAAGTCACGCCGGTTGCGGCGGTCGCGTAAAGTGTCGGCGCAGGCGATGAGGCTGTCGGTAGCGATGGAGATGCTGAGGCTGCGCCGGTCCGATCCAAGGCTGTTGCTTCTGTTATGGCAGGCGCGCCTGGTACGACGACCGACAATGCTGCGACGACACCGCCTCCCCTGGTGCCAGACAACCCTTTTGTGGCGATGCCATGCGGATCTACACAGGCGGCTACTGGATCTCATCGGGAGGAAACGTTGGCCAATGACAACATCGTGATAAGCCGTCACGAGTTTGAGGCGCTGAAGACGGCGAGAGACGAGAGCGACTGTCAGATTGCACGCCTTGAGGCGCAGCTGCTGGCAGCCCAGGATCCTAAGATGCAGAACAGCAGACTGCGCAGTCCGCGGGAGGAAAGGGCGCGCGGTGTTGCGCGGAAGACCAAGCGTAGGCGGGTCGAATCAGGCTCGGAAGATGTGTCATCGGAGGAGGATGATGAGGAGGAGGCGGAAGAGGAAACCGTGAGGGCTTGTGTACGCAGGAGGCGCCACATGATGGTGTCGAGCTCTCCCATACTTCAAGAGGCGTTAGATTTCCTGGCGGCGGGAAAGCCATGGAAGGTGAGTTGTAACGGAAGGGTTCATCACTATCCTCCCATGTTAATGTTGTTGTTCGGAGGTCATCTAAGCCATTGTTATTTCGGTCGCTAACGGAGGGTATCCCTGGACTATGTTGTCCCGTTGCCCTGGCAAAAAACCTGCGATCATGTGAGGGAGTACCTGTTTATCGAGCGGGCGAATGATGTCATAACCTTTTATCCAAGCAGTGACGACAAGACGCAAGGCGTATGCTGGGTCACGCCCCGTCTTTCACTTAAGTATGCAGGTCTCACACTGGCAGCCAACAAGACGCGACGTGGTGACTTAAACAAGTCACCGAGCCAGTGGAAGACAGAGATCACAGGCCGCGTACGTGACATTGCGCTGCCACGCATTGGACTGTGGCGCGATGAGCGAGATGCTCGAAGCCCGTGGGCACGCAAGAAACGGAGAGAGGTCGCGGAGGTTCGGCTTCGTTATCGCGTTCTGGACAATGTGAACGGTACGCGGTGGGCTGCTTGAAGCAGGAATGATGTGTATAGACCGGATGACAATGTGTTGCGTTTGACGATTGTGTGTGCAGAAGATCTCACGCTGTCTTCCTGGGGCGAGAACAAGAGCGGAATGATCTTTGCGTCAAGAGCGTCCACTGCTTGTGCCGTGACCGCCTTCCAGCCCAAGAAGCTCAATGGGACTGTGACAGTGAAGCTGTACCAGATGGCGTGGCTCGAGCATGTGGTGAGTGGCGGTGGAGCACTGTGGCCTAAACTTGTGCATGGGACTGATGGCAGTGTGTGAGATGTTGGTTGTTACACGCAGGTGACGGACACGATCCTGAACTGGGACAAGCGCAAGGCTCACCTGTCAAACTCTGCTGGCGGCAATGCGCAGGTTGTGAACGGGCTCCACCAGGTCGCCGAACATGCAGTGGCGCAGGCGATCCAAGATTTCAAGCCTAAGTACGATGTTCGGCGGCGTGGGTCTGGGGGAGCATGGGCTGATGCTGTCCTAGTGCGGGCTGGAGCACTTGATCCCCGGCCGCTATGCGCAGAGGGCGCCAGAGCAGGAGGAAGGTGCATCGGTTTCTGGTGGTAGTGGCTGATGTCGTGACCGATCGTCGGTGGCGTTGATGAAGGGTGTGAACACATGGGGGCTATTGCAGTATGTGTGTATCCGATTCCATGTGTGTTCGTAGGGGGATTTGTGGTGGTAGTGAGGAAGGAGATTAGCATTTGGAAGCAAAAAATAGAGGGGGGTGTGTACACATGCCAGTTGTATGGGTGTGCAATTTACCATGCGGGATTTTGTCGTGTGCGCTTGCCTCATGTGTTCAACTTAAAAACATGCACGCCAAAGTCATCAAATTTGTGGTATAACGAGGAATGCCATATGGACGTACATTACGCCATGTATTCGCAATGTTGATAGCAATTTGTGTGGATGCGGTTACTAGACCGAGTCGCAATCCAATGGTGGGAGTTATGCGCAACGCGTTGTGATCGACGGGTGGTGTGAAAGCCGACTAAACCACGGTCGAGCCGCGCCAACACTAGGATGCATGCGTTGAGTGGGTGGGCAACGATCCAGATTGCGTGTATGCAGAGATGGTAACGGTGCGGCGAAGTTGACGAGTGAGTTCGGAGTGTGCGCTGATTGGGTGGGGACTTTGGAGTGTGAGGATGAGGGCGGGGTTGCGATAGGTCGAAGTATGCCGGCGACGGTGGGCGGCGCCAATGACGGGGGCGTTGGTTGTCACCAAGTTACGCAGTAGTGCACGCTTCATTGGGCGAGGTACAGGTGTGCGGGACATGCGGCCAAGACAGTGGGGCCCGTCGTTGGCGCGCGAGTGTTCGGTGTCGATAGGGGATTGGGCGTTGTACGTTTCGCGAAGACCAGCAAGTGGTGCACGACGGATTCCGAGTAGGACGCTCAGCGGTGGGCGAATCGGGGTTACTCGGAGGTGTGCCAGTACTTGGAACACATGTGTTCGTGTTTGATAGGTGTACACTTTGAGGGTTGACCGAACGGGGGATGACGCGAGTACGGTTATGACTGCCACGTTGGCGGCGTGTTGTAACTGGATTTCACGCAACCTGGGGGTGTTGTTGCCGCAGTTTGTAAGCAACTGCGCGGCATGTTGCCAGTAACTCGAAGGTGTGCGCAAAGTTATGAAATGGTGGCTGCAAGTTTGCTGGATTGTGTCCTGGTTGTTGCAGAAGTGTTGCAGAAATGCAACTTTTTTGCAACTTTCCAGTGACTCAGATTTCTGCAACCTTCGTCCATCACTGTAAAGTTGTGGGGGCTAGGTTTCATAAAAGCGGAGCCTGGATGCAAGTCATTTTTCGCGATGACGGACAGCACACCCTTATCCTGCAGATTATTTGCGACTCCAAAGGTGTAATTTGGGACTTCTATGCCGGATGGCCCGGCTCAGTCAACGACGCCCGAGTGTGGGATAACTCGCCTGCACAAGCCCGCAATGAGGCGGGCGGCCTTTATGACCGCATGATAGTGGGTGACGCAGCGTACGGCCTAAGGGCCTACACGTTCACCCCATATCGAGCCCTTGCAAATGAAAATATCATCAGAAGGGAGGCTACATGGAACAAGCAACAGTCAAGATGCAGGATGATTGTTGAGCAAGTGAACGGCCGCATCAAGTCAAAATGGCGGCTTCTACAAGAACGTCTAGAATGCAACCTAGCTAAGGCGTGCGAGGCCATACGGACTGCTGTCACGCTCCACAACATTGAGCTGGTGCTTGGCAATCGGCCTCGTCTTAGTCCTCCGCGAGCACGGGACCGATGGTGGCTTCGCGGTCCGGCGGCAACAGCACCGCACTATCCGTCTACCTCTCCGTGCTATACCCCCGCTCGTCGCCGTGATCAGTTGACGAATTATCTTTTTGCTTCTTGGCGTCTCGCTCATCCCGAAGAGAACGAGCCAGCTCTCAGGTATGTTCAAGAAAACAGTCCATTCCGCGGTCAAGCAACCTCTCAAGGGTTTGCTCAATACGCCCCCCCAGTAGGTTTTCCATTGCAGCCCCTTCGGGTGTCACTATCGTGCTAACTCCTTCCGTGCTTTCGTTGACAGGAGGCGAGAGAGGCCCGCGTAGACCACGGATGCGCGTGGCCGAAGGCGGTCGCACCGGTGAGGCTCCTACCGATGGTGCGTCTGCGGGATGTGGTGGGAGTTTAAGTGACGGTGCCATGAGGGAGGCAGGGGTGGTGGGGAAGGTGCGGTGCTTGAGAGACACGGCATATAGGTGGCATTTTTTAAGGTGGCGCGGCCAGGAGGCATGTAGAGGTCCTTGTAAGGTATAATGGAAAAATAGAAGGACAAGGTAGTTGATGCATTATGTCTGAAGTTATAACCAACAAAGTTGTAGTCACATAACAGGGTTATTGTTCGCATTTCCAAAAGGGCGTGATTGGTCGTTTTCTGAAAAGGCACAAAGAAGAGGGTAACGACTTTACACAATAGCGTTGGAAATATGCTTGAGGAGTTAACGGGACATAATCAATACATAACCTCACCTCCTCCGCCTGTTGTCCCGCTCGGCCCCTCGCCACGTGGGTTCTCTGGGGCTGCGGTGGTGCTCGCGCTCGTGAATGACGGCCCAGCGGACGGGCGAGCATGCATGACGGCATCAATGAGGTTCCACCACCTAGGCAGATCGGGAACGCGCGCCGCGCCTGACTGGCGCATGAGGTCACGGATGTGACAGTACCTCTCTATTATGCGCTGTAGCTTGCTTTTCACGGCCAACAACCCAAACCTGAAGTCTGGGTCGCGCCGTAATATCTCGTCCAGGATCAGAACGTTGTAGTTCTGACCCTGAATCATGCGCGTGCCGCGAATGAACTCGTCCAGGTCATGCCACACCTCCGCAAGTAACATCTCTTCTTGGGGCTGCCACTGATGATTGGGGTAAGTTCCCACACGTATCGCGGTACCCTGAGTACGGCTCGTGGAGGAAACTCGAGTCGAGGTAGCCGGTGGCGACGTTGGCTCCGCGGTGCCACGCGGAGGGGATGTGGTTAGTATGAATGTATGCATCACAGGAGGCGTGGCAACTTTCGGCGACTGGATTGGGCCGTCATCCAACTCGCCAAGGTCCTCGTCAAGAGACGGGAGGGTCCCAATGTACGTATCGAGATCAATGACAGTGGCGCGCTGACGAGCGTTGCCACGTGTCGCTCGAGCAGTTGCACGACCCGTGTTTGCGCGGCCACGCGCTGGAGTTGCCTGTCGCTGCACCTCCGTCCCGGCTGCTACGGTCGTAATGGTAGCCTGGCACTGCATCTCCGTAGCGGCTGGAGCGGCTACCAGAGGTGCAAAGGGCTGTACATCCGTCGCGGTCGTTGCCGTCGCATGAGGAGCTTGGATGGGCGCGACGATTGCGGTTGTTGCAGGAGCATGGCGCTACAAAACCCACGCGGTTGTTGCCGTGGCTTGGACCGCCTGCCACTCAGTAGTCGAGCCCTGGGTGTCGACATAAGGGCCATTACCCTGGGTGTCGTATGCGCCACTGTCGTCGTTGCCGGTGTTAGAGGCCATGGCTGGTGGCAACTAAAGGACTTTTTTCTTCTTATGAGAGAAAGAAAAGTGATGGTTCCAACGTGTTGTATTGTTCGTAATTATGCTTGCGAGTTGTGTGTGGCTCAACTTTGCAATTTCTCATGCGCGGCACGGGATGTATGTTCAATTTTGGTGAACCACATGCGTGGCTCGAAATCTGTAAACATCACAGTGCCAGTTGGGTTGCCCTGTGGGCTGCGACTGTCGCAGGTGTGCTTGTGCGACCCTTGGTTTTACAGTGCCCGCGTCGCAGGCAGATACACAATGTCGGTGGTGGAACATCCACGGCAGGACTCAGGCGTGATCGTTACAGCGTCATAGGCGCATCGGTTCACCAAACGACCCGACCAATCGATTTTCGGGATCGATGTTTGCTCACGATTTGGCAATTTTTGCACTTTTACCGCGTCCTCACTTTCCCCCTCGATTCTCCACAGCACACATCAGGCAATCCCAATGCCTGCTGAATCTAATCCAAATCAGATCAGTGGCACAGCACGGCCCGACCCAAACCCTTCTGCCGCACACACCATGCTACGAGAGGAAGCCGATAGTCCCGTCGCGCTATTGTTGTGCGAAGTTTTTTACCGAAAAATGTATCCATACGGTTTGTTGTAACAAAGCTCGTAGAGCGGCTAGGGAAGAAATGGAGAACAAAATGACGGCGGGAAACTGGTGAAGCAACTCGAGGGACTCAAGGACTTGAAACCCACCGACACCGGCAGGCTCACCCCGAACCTCCCACCCCCGATGATTATGCCTGACGCGACGCCATCGAGATCCCGAACCTGAACCCCAGCAAAGTACGCCTTGAGATCCGTCCGCACACCTTGCTGCTTCATCTCCCACCGTTCGATTTCTGATACTGGCATGCGTACGATTAGACAGCAAAGCAGGCTGAGGCTCGAACTCCGATGTTGAGGTAGGCAAAGCATGTGGGGGTGGAGATGGGGGGGTTCGAGCAGGCGAGGGCGGAGTGCAGTAGAAATGGGGTTGTCAGGGTTGGAACTTTTCATTCCCACTTACTCCGCCGTTCTGTCGATATGTAGTGAACAAACTACTCGAAAATCAGCCTTTATCCAACGATCAGCTTCTGTTCAACGATCTGCAGTCAAGTAACATGGCCTCTCTCGTCGATATTAATTGTGTTTCTCAAACCGCGAACAATCCTGCAGCGCCTACAAAAGGCATTGGCAGGTTCGGAACCCCGCGAACCGTTTTCTCGCCTGTAAGATACTCTCCTGCCAAGCCTGCTGCTTGCAATGGTGACGGTGAGACGATTTGCAGCAACGTGCTTCTTAAGAGCGTGAGGCCGCTGCTGGAGAAACTGGCCTCCCAAGGCGTCGCTGACGGGCAACACAAGCCTGCCAAGGTGCACGTTGTACCTGACGCGCATGATGTGAAGCGACCTGGAATCGGCCGCTTCGGAGGCAAGCCTGCTGCTTCCGTGGTTGCACCTGTGGTTGTCCCTGCTGCTCCCTCACCATCTGCTGCCGCTGCAGTCACTTCATCTG